TTGTTTACTTCTCGAAGAAAGATTTAGATGAATAAAAATAAATGGTAGTCACCACACTGAATGAATAGGCCATTCCGAGTTTCCTTGTGCCTCTGTTTCAAAACGAGTCTTAGACCAAGACCTTTCATACGAAAATGAGTTTGATTTGCATGAAAATGAACCTGTAGGCGGAACTTATTTTCGTATGAATGGTTTCGCGTGAAGACTCGTTTTGAGACAGAGGCAAAAGGCATCTTGGAAATGGCCTAATCTTTAGATGCAGTTTTAATCATACCCATGCTGGCTTTTATCATAAAACGTTGAATGGAAGAGGTCGAAGAGTAATGCAAGCGCTAGGTATGTTATTCAAGTTAATTATAAGCGTCGTTTCTTTTCCAACAAGTTGCATGGATTTCGCATCTACAATCACAGTACGAAACATTTTATGTCTGTACATCGATTATTGTGTATATAGTTGAATTATGTTTTTAATTACATTCTTTCTTTGTGAAAACACCCAATAAAAAAATACGTAAGTTGTAGCAAATGACAGACCTTTCGGCCTTTTTACTGTAACACGATCTTTTTAATGTTTCGGTAATCTTTAATCCACTTACTCGCAAGAGCATTAAATTTTTCTGTTTCGCAGTATCTTTTGTTGATATAAGCATTGGTCGTGTTTCTAGCAAGTATTGTCCCCCGTTTCGCATAGCCGACACGAAAGAGTAGACCGGTTGTATTAAACCCCCTCCCCCTACCCCCTCTGTCCCCTACCCCCTCTGTCCTCTATCCCCTCTGTCTCCTCCCCCTCCCCCTCTGGGGGGAGCGGGGAACTGACACTCGTAATTTGTTGTTTCATGGCTACATGTGCGTCTTTCACGGCCATTGAGTTAGAAATTCGGTGTGGCTGATCGATTATATTGCTGCAGCGCTAGACTGAAAACCACCGGCCCAAGGTTAATTTCCGGCGCCTAGGACACGCTTCAGTTTTTAGATTATACCCATTTAACCATTACAAATAGCCAGCTTTTCAACCTTCTGTCTGTTCAAGATTATGAGGCTGGATTTGCCTGGAAACTAGCTGTTCTCAGCACCTTAACTCTGAACGAAGATTGATGCGGGGGGAAACGCGGAAGGAGGCTTTTTAGGCCTGCATTGGCTTAGTACCCTTATAAACTGAAAAGAATATTGAAAAAATGGGCTTCAAGTCTGGTGACTTCTCGGGTGTGACTATTTTTGAACCAGTTTCGGTGGCTTTCCAACATCTGGTAAAAAATGCCAAAATCCAAGATGGCGGATCCAGGATGGTTGTCCGAAAGTAATGATTTCAGTTTCGCGTCATACACGTCAGAGAAAATATTTTCGAACGAGCCATAAATCCTCCAAGCATGAACCAGCAAAAGTCGTTCGCAACCGAAAAATCTGAGAACGCAAAATTATCAAATGTCTTTTCCCATTTACTTGGGAACCAAAGTAGGTCAAGATAAAAGTGGAATGAAAAAAGCATAGTTCGGTGAATCGATAAGAAAGGGGAGGGGCACGGTTGAGTGACACATGCACAATGATTGGTGCGTTAGGATAGGCTTCGGGCGCCGGCTAAGGACGCAGTGTCGTGTCTTTCTCCATTTTCTTCAAACTGTTTAAAAAAACACCGATCATTCAGTATCTTCTTAATCTAGTGGAAATTTGAAATCGCTCTCCGATAACTCTGCAAAAGCTGCTAAATTTCACAGAAGTGGGCACAACTACACATGAGAGGAATATCATTTAAAGCAAAAACCTAAAACTACGCCTCCGTTGCTTTTGGTCACGTGGTCAGCGAACCAGAGAGACGTAAAAACATTTTAAAACTGGGGACGAGAATGTTTGATGCCTGAAAATGGCAGTGCGAAGCTAAAACGTTCGCTGAAGGTATCTTATGCTTGAGAAGTTCGATGTTTCGAAATCGATCAGAAAAAAACCTGGAACAAACTATTTTAGGTTTATATCGACAACATTGATAATTTTTGTTTATTTAAGATCACTTTAAGCATTTTCGTTTTTGGCATGTTTGAAGTTTGAAAAAATCCTGATTTGTTCCAACAGTTTTTTTTTCCCATAACGTCACGTGAGCTCGATTTTTCTTGTGGTCAGATAAGCAGCAAAAGGCGGGGATAAGCTTGTGGAATGTCATTGACCAACAGGTTAAGACGTAAATCCCTCCCACTACACTTATTTCAAAGAAATTACCTTATCATCCTGTTAATTTCTCATTACAGGGCAACGTTTCATTTTCAGCTCGCGTACATTCCTTCGCGAATAAGATGGCGTAAATTTTAGTACGAAAACGTCCCTTCTGGTATATTTACAATGAGGGTAAGTAGTATTGTATTCAGTTTACATCTTGTCTTATTTCCAGAAGTGCTTTTCTTTGGAGAAACGTAGTTTTGAGATTGTATCAGGTTAGCCAAACAACTTAATATATAAACACGTTTTTGAATTTTACAGATTTTCATTAGCGTCTTCATCGTTCACTAGATAATATTAACATGGAATAATTATTTGCATTTTCGAAGCACATTTTTTGGTTCAAGGTATGAAAGTCTCATTTTACGAAAGCAAGGATCGATCTTTGTTTCCGGCTTGTCTTCTGTCTCTCTCAGGTCGATCTGGAAAGCTCTCCTTAATCCCTCCAAAGTAAAGATATTGGTACACACCAGAATCTCTCGTACTAAGTGTGTCATAACTCAGTGGGTTTTAAGTTTAAACATTAGAATAGTCGCTTATACTGCTAACTGCTAGGCTAGGACAAAAAGGTTACCTTTTGGAGTTCTTCCTTCACAACATAACTCATCTATTCTGTGATTTGATGAAAGACAAACATGATTACATCGTCTCAGTATAATTATTTCTTTGGGTGCCTATACTTTGGTAACTTACATCCATTGTAGTGTTATTGGCCAATTCCTTTATACTACTTAATTTTTCTTGTCTTGCATTTCCGTCATGTCTTTGAAACCAATCCCATTTAGACGATTTGTTGGGAAATATTTGCTTACAAAGTTTCAGTTGTAGGTTTTCAGACTGACAAGACGTGATGTTGTCAACTATGTTGTCAATTATGCTGACATTATTTTTAACCTTTTATTAAGATATTTAGTTCGAACAAATGGACAAAAAAGACTTAGATAATGGCTAAATATGAAATTAATCTTCCGACGAAGAGCAGAAACAGTCTTAAATTTCCCGAAGGAGTAAGTTCTCCTTATTAAACATTTACAATCACTCAGTCAAATTAACGATTTTTACGATCGACACTTAAAGTTTAATTAAAAGTGTTGAAGATCTAATTGTCATCAGGCCATCGTATTTTAACATCGTTCACATCGTACATGGGTATCTCTAAGCATTAATTTTTTATTTGCAGTGAAAGAAAAAGAGATTTGATTCATGACAACATGGCGCTCAAAATATTAGTGATGATTCTTGCGTCGTTCTGTCTCGGTAAGTATCTTTTTTTAACATTTGTTTTTCTATGTCTGAGCTTTTTTGTTTATTGACAAAGTTTACAGTTACAATGCAGACACAAAGGTAATGTTCACACGCGCGATAAACTTAATCATAAGGTAACCTAAACCAGGCAACCTAAACCAGCCTTGATAAAGGACCCCTTGAATTTGCGTTATTCCTGTTTACACAGGTAGCCTAACAACCGTGACTCAAGCGCGAGAAAAAAGGAAAGATCTGCATTTGTTGTTCTACTCGTGTTTACACATGCAGTTGTGTTCGCATCTGCCGAGTCATGATTTGCTGTTGCTATGTGTTTTTTTTTTCTGGTAGCCATTGTAACAGGGAGACTTTGGATTGAATCAATAAAACCCAGTAAAAAGTGGTCTTAGCTTCACTGACTTCGGCATACTGAATAAGGAGCTAGCCAATTTAATTCTGAAATTTCCCATTAGAAGCTATACTTCATCCATTCCATGTCAGTAACGACGTTTCTTTATTTCTTAGCCGTGGCTGGGCAAGAAAACGAGCGCAAGAATATCAAAATGTTATTCGTTCCAGCAGACGTTATGAAAGCACTGCGTAAAAACCTCACCACGAAAGACTTACCCCCAGGCCTACCAGGACAGGGTACTCAGCGCTGGACCCCAGTCCGCCTACCAGGCGATAAGACTCACACGTTTGAAATCCGCATCAACCCTCGTACAGCGCACAAGCTTAACATGAACTTTCAGCATTTCAGAGTTGGTCGTGGCCACGGGCTACTTTTGGAGTTGAAAAACGTGTCCCTCTCGACCAAGGGAAAGACTGTTCTGGACAGGCTGGTAGAGTTTTATAAAAACTGCGGCAGTGGCCGAAGCCATCGTATAGGCATGCGCCCAGGCATGCATATGCTGCACAGATTAGGACACTTCCACTCCACCATGCACCATTCACTTTTGCTACCTGGCGACGTTCCGTTACTGAAGCGTATACAAACCGCGCTGGAGCGTTTTTTCCCTAAGCGTCATGACGGATCAGTGGACGTATTCCAGCACAAAGATTCGAGCGGTGCAGTTCATTTTCTACCGTTTGAAGAAGTCAGAAGAGAAGTGAATAATCTTATAAAACGAACGTTAGTTAAGAGGGATTGTGTTAAGATCAGTACCAACGCATTGACTCGAGCACTCGATGCATTCAGACGGCAGCTCAATAACGACACAACAGCGTCAAGTACTCAAAACGAAAGCTTCAACGTTAGTGATGAGCCTGACCGTGAAAATAGCGACAGCAATGGTGAGGAGGGCGACGATGAAGGCGAACAGAAAGACCAAGTCCTTTCATTTTCAAGGAATCTTGATTCGTTTAACCCGCACCCGGTCAACAAAGTGAATCTGACTTCATCTTCGGCCATGAACGTGCCAAGCGATGCTGCTGCTACTAAAATAGTTTCTGCGCTCGCCGACTTGAGGAAAGAAATCAATGATCTATCAAGCGGTTTTAGACAGATTCCTAAAGATAGTGACAGTACGGGCATCAGTGTGGGCACCGATGATAGTGCAACCGGTTCTAATGCCAACATTGTTAAGATAAGCAGCGATAACAACGAAGCCAAAGACGGGAAAAATGAAAACCACCAAAGCTTCGATATAAGTGTAGTAAAGAACAGGAGAAAAAAGATGAGTAATGATGACAGTGATGACGTA